ATTTCGATTTTTCCGAAAATTTTTTTATTTATAACGAATTTTCTGAACAAAATGAATTGACATGAAATGCCACAGATGGCATATAATAATCGAATTAAAAGTTCAATATTTTCGTCAATTTTGCTCAGATTGGGCTGAAATTTTTACAGAATACTCTCGAAAGTATAAACAATCAAATAAAACAATAAAAAAAAAAAATCAAAACTTTTCGAGGTCAGGACCATACCCCCCCCNTCCCCCCCCCCCCCCCTTAAGGTGACAATTTCCCGTGCTCGCCAATTCAGATTTTGTGCTAGATCGCCCCAACATGTTAATAAAATCTGAAAAGTGAAATTAATGAAACAACGGGAAATAATAAATAGGTTGATAGATAATAGAAAGATGAGCACGAGGTTTACCTTATTTTTAAGATCGTCTATGAGCAAGACGTTACGTTTTTGTATAATTTTGCCATCTTTCATCTGTACATCGCTGACGTCTTCAACTTTTTTAATTATTGCGACAACGTCTAAAAATGTATAATGTGACAGTCAGTAACGTGAGAAAATTGTTATGAGTATTTAATTGAGTGCGTATACTAACTGATGGCTGATGTAAGCAATACGTCGTCTATATCATTGAAATTTGTTACTTTCATACGATCTTTCATGTTATCTGCTTCTTCCTCGTCTACCTCTAATTCCTCGATAATGGTTTGGGACGATGGTGTGAGATGCATGTGTTGTCAGTACCTTGCTAAGTTTAAATCATGATTCTGCAGTTTTGTTTTTGGAAACGCAGCGAATGGTGCCAGTAGCGTCAGAGATATCAAAGTAAAATATGTTATTGGATTGTTTGTATAGCGTTACTTCTCTCAGTTCGGAGGAGCAGACTACTTAACCTTGAAAAATCCAACTGTAGATAGAATGAATTAATTAAAAAAGATTGGGTTTGAATGTGGCATAAATCGCTGTGTTAAGTAAGGTTAATTTGTACAACGCGTTCAATGTTTTTTTTATCGATTGAATATTTTTATGAATTGATGCGGACGCAGTTGCATGATCGGTAGTGGAGTAACGTTGAGTGATAAAGCACGTAGACTGAGAGATAAATAACGTGCAAAATTCTAGCACATGCTAGCGTCGGTGTAATATACATAATAGATTTTGTAAAATTGTGTATAAGACATCGGAAAAAATAAATATAGGACGTAATGTTTAAGAATAAAAGATTAAACGTTGTGGTTAATAAACATTGCGTTTTTAAAATTGCGTAAAATTGTCGCTGCGGTATGTGAGCCAGAGTGCGATAACAATAAAGCGGCATAAAGATAATAAGGGGAAGAATTGGTGCGGTAAGGGGATTTAGGCATCTGTTGAACCGGCGTGTAGTGTTTGATGTGTAATCGCGTTATATACGTGTATATAGGCTTTATTGTAACCTAATAATGTGTGTGTCAATTTAAGTAATGGAAGTGAATGAAAATTCGTCATTTGACTTACCTGCGTACAGTTGCTTCGATGTTATGCTGAGACATTATGGTCGTATCTTGATTTTTCTTTTTGAATTTTTTTCGACTTTTTGAACGGTCCTTCCTTCTTCTTATCCAGTTTCGATGTATTATTAACTTTGCCCATTTTTTAATTGTTTTATATATAGATAGATTATTATATATAAAACAATTCGATAACCGAGAAATTGAATATTTTAGGCAGGTAACGTCGGGTAAATTTAACGGGTTACCGACATAATCTCCGCTGCCAAAATCTCCGGGACACAATCTCCGCGACAAAATCTCCGGACACAAAATCTCCGGAGACAAAATCCCCCGGGAAAAAAATGCGCACTATCACGCATCCCAAACACACTATCACGCATCCCAAACACACTATCACGCACCCAAACACACTATCACGCATTCCAAACACACTATCACGCATCCAAACACACTATCACGCATCCAAACACACTATCACGCACCCAAACACACTATCACGCATTCCAAACACACTATCACGCATCCCAACCACACTATCACGCATCCAAACACACTATCACGCATCCCAAACACACTATCACGCATCCCAAACACACTATCACGCACCCAAACACACTATCACGCATCCACACTAATACACAGCTAATACATAGAAGTACACATGAGGTAAACAAAGAATTAAGGAAGAGCGTATTTATAACATTGTATAATTATGGCGGAATTTATCTGAACGGAATAAACATCTAATAATAAATAATAATATAAAATTAAATTCGGCGGAGATTTTGTTCCCGGAGATTATGTCGCGGAGATTTAGTCGCCCGGAGATTTTGTCCCGGAGATTTAGTCGCGGAGATTGTGTCGCCGGAGATTTTGTCTCCGGAGATTTTGTCGCGCAAATACAGTTAGAACCACTGATATTACTTATTGCTTTCAAAGCGAATGCTAGATATCGACTGTGGCACGCGAGATACGATTTAGTCTAAGGACGCAAGTCATGTATACAAATTTAAAGTAGTCGGGACCGGATTATCTCAAAGGCCGTCAATGCCGGCGAGTATGTGCGGCAAAATGTAGAAATTAAAAATTGTTTATTTTCGATTGTAATATGTAAAAAATATTATATTTTTTAAATTTATATTTTAAAATATTCTATGTCTTATATATATTTTTTAAAATGTTCTATTTTTAAATATATAGTTTAGAATATGTAATATAGGGCAAATTTTCTCGAGTGACAGGTCAATTACCTGCAAAGTGTTACTTCAACGACTCGGACAATGTTTAAATCGGCGTTAAAGCATTGTCATGCGCGGTGTGAGCACATTCGTAAGTACATCAATACGAGGCATGAAGGATGAATCGCAATTTTGTCATGTGTATGTATGTGGCACTGTTGAAGAAACTGTATATGTTTGTGTACGGATTTTAATCGTGTGCTATTAATAGTCACCGAATTATTCAAATACAACATTTAATTGTAAGTGTAATTATAGTTAAGTGCTAATTGCTTTTGATGATCACATCCTTCGCGAGATATTTGTGATACGCTGAAGACTGCATTATTGTGTCATTGTAGCTGTTACTGGTGAATGTAAGTTTAAATTATCTATATAAATTAAAGTGGGGTTTGGTTAGAATTGGCTGCGCATTTATAGTATATATTTTTCGGCTAAGCCCGGGCCGATAATAATGGCACTCAAGTGTTCGGTTGTACTGCTATTGCTGATGCTGTGTTTCGCGTCCGTGCACCCAAAAACCGCGTAACTCGTCGCTGCTCAAGAAAACAATGACATAAAAATGGGGGCAAAAGCATTGCTCTTTATTTTTGCCAGCGATGAAAAAAACGTCAAAATTGTTTTAGCGAAAAAAAATACTCTTACTATTGGGACATTTAAACTTGATCTTTGGGTTTTTTTAGACGGACATATATTACCATATTTTTGTCAGATTCAACATCCGAAATTGCCATTTATGATAACACAAATGTTACGTGAATTTTTTCTTGCCCGTGTTAGTTGTAACGTTATTATTTTTGTAGAGAGTGGCGATATAATTTTGACACGGGTGAAATTCATTAATTGTTCGAGCTTCGATGATGTGTGTTTTTACTCGTAAGCAACGGCGATATAGGACGTAAACTATGTACAATAGCTTTTTGCCGTGTGCGACCTTCATAGAAACCTTTTAAAACAGAGTGATAATAACGTGATGATGAGCGTGTGCGCCTGCGCCATCACTGCAGTTGTGCGGTTATAATTATGCGGAGGCTTGTTTGCGGGAGGTATTCATTGATTTATTTAAAATGATAGAGCATAATCATTTGGGTAATTATCTTTGTAAGAATAGACAATAATTCGTCGATATTGCGTATTAACTTCCATAGATTTTTAATATTATTGATATGTGTGAATATCAAGTAAGATCATTTTATCCTACAATGATCTAGATTAATTTGATGGGTGTAAAGCTAAAATATAGAATGATTGAGTATGATACTTTTATTGTAAGAATCTTATATATCTTACAAAAAGATATACTTTGTGTTCAGTTTGTTATAACGTGCTCATAACGATAATTGTATTATTTCAGCATGCCGCCAGTAAGACGTCATTCGGCGAAGATGCGAAGAATGTTGAGGCTGAATGCGAAACCGTACGAGCGATCAAGTTCTAGCGAAAATGATACCAATGATTTAACGCCGTTTTTCTCGATTCCGAAACTAAATAAGCAACATGTTATTGCCGGTTTAAAGTTTGATAAAAAAAATCGCCGATATAAAATGGATGCAATGTAAAACTTGCAAAATTCGGTTTCCAAATTTGAAACTTATTAAAAGTATGTGTCATTCTTGTTGTAATGATGAAAGAAAAGCCATGTTTTATAAAAACAATAACATAGATCCGGGGCCCATTCCAAATGAGTTGCAAGATTTAACTTATATCGAACAAATGCTTATAGCTCGTGTACATCCGGTAATATCGATATTTCGAATACATGGCAATCAATATGCTTATTCGGTGAATGTAATAAATTTTAGGCAAGAAGTTCAAAGTTTCGTTAATGAATTACCGGTAGACATTCGTAAAATCCCGTCAACATTGTTAGTAAATAAAGTGACATTGTCAGGAATAGCTCAATTTCGGGTGAGAAGTAAGAAAGTGTTGCAAGCTTTATTATGGTTAAAACAAAATAATATTTATTACAATTCGATACAAATATCTGATAGTAATTTGGATATGCTGCCAGTAGACGGCGATATTTTAGATAAAATACGGAATGTAATTCATGAGGGTGGCGACGAGAACGTACGTTGTGAACGTGAAGATATTGAATATGATAATATAATACGTGATGGTAGTATATTTTCACTGTTTAATATAGATCAAAATGATGCAATTAATAGAGAATTGCAATTGAATTATCCGAGCACTGCTAGTATGCCTGTGAATGAATTTACGACGGAAGGATACATAGCATTCGCTTTTCCCGTATTGTTTCCTACTGGAAAAGGAGATTACTTGCAGGCTAGGCCGGTTCCTATTTCTCGTAATGAATTTTTTAAATATTTAATGCATTACGAAGATGGCCGATTTGCAAAAGATCCACGATTTATGCTATTCATACGCCGAATGTACGTTCGATTGATGGTGATTCATGCGGTCTCGATGCACAATTATTTTTGGCTATTGGGTCCAGAATCGTATTACGCCATAATATCTGGATTGCCGGTGGATTGGTAAATGGATCGGTTGGGACGGTAATAGCGATAGTGTATGATGATGGTGTTGAACCAACAAATCTACCACGTTATATATTGGTTAAATTTGAATCATACAAAGGTCCATGTTTGATAGACGGTTTATTTCCTGTTGTTCCTATTGTACGATCGTGGGATGGTAAGGGTGTTACGTTTAGTAGAAAACAATTTCCGATATCGTTAGGATACGCGGTGACCATTCATAAATCTCAGGGATTGACCCTAGCGTCAGCAAAAATTGACATTGGTGCAAAAGAATTTTGCTCCGGACTCTCATATGTTGCACTAAGTCGAGTCAAAAGTATTAAAAACATCATGTTTTCTGAATTTTATGCTAAAAAACGTTTTAATGTGATAGCGAAGTCATACGTGACGAAGTTGAAAATAAGTTTTATTGAGACGTTGAAAAATAAATTGAGCGTACATTAAACAATTGCGTAATATACATTGTGGGCCTGTAATCGCGGAAATATAAGATAACAGTATAGATAATTATGATATAAAAATTAAAAAGAATGTGCACCCGCGAGCATAGATTCTCTCACCTCGAAGTAGAACTTTCGATCAATCGAATGTTATACTTCAAGGTCCGAGAATCTGTGCTCGCGGGTGTGTACGAGGTTATGAATTTAGTGTGATAAGTTGGGTATTAATTTTTTAAAAGTAATATAATACAGTATGTTCCAGATAAGGCGGACCCTTTTGAAATTTCGTTATAAAAAAAGTCAGAGGCATTATTGACGATATAAAATTTATATCAAATTAAGGGAAAAAGTTTGATCTTTCCAATGGTCCACCCATATACGCGGTAGGATTTACCAAATTCTCATGAAATGCGTCGGAAATGACTCGAAAAATTTATTTTTCGAATATAGGTTAAAAAGAATTTTACAAGATAGCTAATTTTTTTCGACGGTGTTTGCGCCTATAATAAAGGCAAAAGACCTCTTAAATTTTCCACAAAAATTTTTCTGCGTCGACCTGTAAAAGTACATTTTTTCGCTACAGCGTGCAGCACGGACTGGCCTTAGCAACGCCGGCCAACAATCGAATGCTAGCCCTCCACTTGCCTGAGTGTTCGATAAAAATCTCGGAAATAATATATGGCCGTATCAAATTGATACGTTGCTTGCATTAACCGTCGAATAACATTTCAAGTTGATTAGCAAAATTTGAAAATTTTCCAGTCCACGGTGATGAAAAAAAAAATAAATGATCGGCGTTTATCGAGCTATACGCGACGACAACAGCACATGGAAATTTCATATGGTCATGTATCGAGCCTTGGATCGTAGCTCATGGTCGCGATCACCGTCGAAAGGCTTTTCAAAGTGATTGCCAAATTATGAAAAATGTCCAGCTGAACAGAGCAGTAAAAAAT